GTGTGAGCCCTTTCACCTCCCTTCCGTCCGATGGCAGTTCCCTGACAACACCCATCTGACTGGATTGTCCCAGCCACTCTGGATGGATTCCAACAAAATATAAAGGGACAAAACAAAACATCAAAAATTAAAACCTTCCCGAAACAGGGCTGCCTTCATAAGGTCATGTGATTGTTTCATGACACCACAAATCAGCCGTCTGAATGCTTGCTTCCGTGTAACTATGTGGACTAATAGCCCTTAATTTGTGCATTCTCTCCAACCCCAGAATATATATTTTTAAAGCTATCTAAGAAAAAGGAGTGAGGGGAGAGAAACTGCTGGAACTTTACCCAAGAGGTTTCTCACCACTATCTTGTCACATCCAAATGTCAAAACATTGAGGGTGGCAATCATATATACTGATGAAGGCAGTTTATCAGTGTTTCAGTAGAGGACAACTTCAAAATGTCTTTTGAGACGGGTGTTTTCATCTCCCCCATCCCCTTTCACGAAAGCAAACCATAAGACAATGTTCTTCCAGGATCACCGAGCCTGGAGTAAAATTTCATGGCATGCTGCTATGATAATCTGCTGTAGTTGCCACTTTGTTACTGATATGGGCTGGTGAAACATCACCCCGGACTTGATTTGCTATTTATGTAACTGATCCGTCAAGTGGAAACCTGCAAGTCCTCTATTCAGTTTGGTAAACATGGGCTTGTCTGTCACCTCGCATTGTTCCTCTTCAAAGTACAGTTGCCACCTTATCTGGCAACAGCTTTCTTTAAGAGCGCTGTGCCTGTGAAATCATCTTTCACCACCGAAGCTGGCATCTTCTTGTTTCTTCTTCTTCTTCTTCTTTTCTTCGCAGGAGCAGAGACATTCATCTCTACCTTAATGGTTAATTAATTTTGAAAATGTGTATTTCACAACACAGTCATAATAAAGAATGAATGGAGACTGGGAGGTGGACAATGGAGTCCAATGCCCCTTCTTCACATTGCCTCCCTATTTAGTTCTTCCAATGTCATCCAAAACACAGATAACTTTTCTTTCATGAATTGTCCTCTTGAATGATTTATACATGTTGTGTTATCTGAAGCCCTCTCCAGATCCCCTTGTGGGTTCAGCCAGCCATCAGCTGAATAATTGTTAATTTTAACACTATAAAAGGTTCTGATGCCAGGGAGATAAAGTGTTGAAGGGGAGAATTAATTGAAATGTATCTTCTAATCACAGTGACTCTCCACTTTTCAGCCCTACAAAAAAATTATACATCGGTTTTGAGGCGGAGAGAAATTTACATCTGCGTGGCCCATAAAGCTTTAGGACTAGCAGGAAATAGATAAGTTAATTGTCTCTTGGACCCATAAATGGTTTGCCCAGAAAATAGACCAGGGCAGGCCCTCTGTTCACAGCACACTGAGCGCTCATACATCGGATCCTTCCTAAGCAACAGCAGACAAAATTGGCCGGGAGATCTCTGACAGGCACCTTTGACAAGACAGGAGACGAGGAAAGAGAGAGGGAGGAGCAGCAGGGTGGGAGGGTGGGGGAATGATTCAACTCAACCAAAATTTAATCTGGGTATTAAACACTCTACGCTTCTGATATACTTTGGAAAACATGCTTGTGCACACATACATATATATATTGAATTAATATGAGGCACCATTTCAGATGGCAGCAGGACAGCTGCAAAGAGATCCCAAGGTTCCCCAAGGACCGAGGGCCTGTTCTTGGATGCGTTCAAGGTCAAAGTGCAAGAAAAAAGCAATGCAATTTCCCTCTACAGTACAATAGAAAACGGGGGCCGTTATCAACCCAGGGCCAACTAGCATCTGTTGTCACTGGGCTTCTTTTAAAACAACAAAGGAGCCTGCGCCTTTGGCATGCTAACCTGCTACATAGGTATTGTTTATTGGAATCGTCACTGAGTGTGTGGCACCTGTCAGCTATCCTGAGACACTCGTGAGGATTAGTGGGGTCTGAAATGTGAGGGCCAGGCCCCTTTTATGGCCTCGCCTGAAGTTAAGCAAACAAATGCCACCCATTTCGGGTTTGCAGGGTATTTCTTTATAAAAACCAACCAACCAATAATTTATACAGCATGGTCCCAGGGGTTATGATCTGAGCGCGCTTGTGGTTGTTCAAACAGAGGGGGAAACAAGAGCCTAATCTGGAGGATAGGATGGGAAGGAAGAGCAAAGGGACAAGACCGAGTTCATGGCAGGAGCGCCAGGCCAGACCACTGGTGCCACTGAAACTGACTCTAGAAAATAAATCGGAAGTTTTGTGAGAGTACAATATCAGGTGTGTCCTGAACAAAAGGAAAAGGTATTAAAGTACATTAACGTGGCCTTTTCTTTAGAAACTTGAGTTTCCCCTCACAATTACTTTAAGTGAAATGAACTTTGAGCCACCTCTGCTGTCCTTTGCAAATGCTCCCCTCTGCAGGAAAACAAAACAAAACACCTTTTGGACAGTGCTGGAAAAACAGGACCTTACAAGATTTAGGCTGCATATACACTATACAGTGTATAGCAGGCACGTCCAACAGGTAGGTCGTGATTTACCGTTAGATCACTGGATGTCTGTGGTAGATCACTGTCTCCTCGCCCCCCAAAGAAGCTCAACAAGTTTGGCTCCCCTAAAAAAGCTCAACATTTTCACCCTGCCCCCCCCCAAAAAAACAGGCAACAGGCCTTCCCCCTTCCTAAAAAAAGCTCAGCAACTTTGACCTGAACCCAAAAAAGGGGGTCGATCACTGCCAGTTTTTAATTCTGTGAGTAGATCGCAGTCTCTTGGGAGTTGGCCACCCCTGGTGTATAGGAGTAAGATCCATAGACCCCAAGGGGACTTACTCCTGAGCAAACCTGCAGTCCTATGCACATGATGTCGTAAACCCTACTGAGTGCACTGGGTTCATCTAAATATGCAAAATGTAAGAAACGCGTCTGGTACCAGTTACCATGCCCCCCCCTTGTAATATGGTGAGATGTACCTTAAAATACAGAGGAAGATCAGCGCATGGCAAATTGAAATATGATGGGTTGCTATGGCTGAAAGGACCTCCTTTAGTGGTGGCACCCTGGTTGTGGAACACCTTCTCCTGAAACATGCTTGAATGTTTTTTCTGTAACTCTGGGGAGTTACAGATTTGCATACTCCACAAAAAATGAAGGGTATCTTTTTATACAACACGGCGGCAGCAAGAGTTCTTATCGCAGCAAAATGGAAGGGTGCTGAAATTCCCTCTATACATGAATGGATCCAAAAGCTGACAGAATATGCTGAATTAGACGGTCTATCAGAAAAATATAAAGAATAAATCAAAACAGGAATTTGTCTCAAAATGGGAGGTTTTCAAAGAATATTTGAAATATAAATATAGTAGTTTAAACTCTGTTGCAGCATTCGAGGAACTTCAGAGGAACTGCAAGTTAGACATAAGAGTTAAGATATATTAAGAAAAAGTTAAATGATGATAGAAGTGTATTGGCAATAAGTAATATGAATAGATGGGAGGTCGGGTCTATAGTGTTAAGACCAACTTATGTTTTATTGTTTGTTAAGGAAATTTTGTGTTTATTGTTATACCTGTGTGTAATTCTGTATCTGTGTTTTCTCTCCCCCCCCCCTTGCTGGATCAATATTTTTTTTTTAAGAATGTTTTTCTGGTGCCCCCCTCCTTTTAAAACTTGTAAAATAGCTTTTAAATAAGTGTGAGTTGTTATGTTTTACTCACTGCTCTTCACGGGGCTTTTTTTTAAAATCTAGCTTTGGAAATCGTTTTCTGATATTGAGACTGGGGGAGGAAGAGGAGTGCGGGGGGAGCGCACCGCCCCCGGCAGCGCGATCCCAGTGGGGTGCCATCGTGGCTGCCCCCCCGCCTGTGCTGGGTGCCATGCCCCCGCAGATGGCGCAACATGCCCCCGGGACGCGCACTAGCCCTGTCCCCGCCTGCTCTCTGCCCCCCAGTGCCAGAACATGAAGCTCCACCACTGGGAGTGCCATTGCTTATATATATATATATATACGGGGGGGGGGGGCTTTAGGGAGATGAACACAGCCCAATGAACACAGAGGGTGCTCAATAGGAATAGAATGCATTTGAAGGGGTGAGAAATGAAATGGTCAATCTGAGACAAGAGCTCTGCAGGTTGAAACATTCTTATCCAGACCCCGATTGTTTTATTGTCTTGTTGTTGTTGTTTAGTCATTTAGTCGTATCCAACTCTTCATGACCCCATGGACCAGAGCACGCCAGGCACTCCTGTCTTCCACTGCCTCCCGCAGTTTGGTCAAACTCATGTTCGTAGTTTCGAGAACACTGTCCAACCATCTCGTCCTCCGTCGTCCCCTTCTCTTTGTGCCATCAATCTTTCCCAACATCAGGGTCTTTTCCAGGGAGTCTTCTCTTCTCATGAGGTGGCCAAAGTATTGGAGCCTCAGCTTCAGGATCTGTCCTCCCAGTGAGCACTCAGGGCTGATTTCCTTCAGAATGGATAGGTTTGATCTTCTTGCAGTCCATGGGACTCTCAAGAGTCTCCTCCAACACCATAATTCAAAAGCATCAATTCTTTGGCAATCAGCCTTCTTTATGGTCCAGCTCTCACTCCCATACATCACTACTGGGAAAACCATAGCTTTTACTATATGGACCTTTGTTGGCAAAGTGATGTCTCTGCTTTTTAAGATGCTGTCTAGGTTTGTCATTGCTTTTCTCCCAAGAAGCAGGCATCTTTTAATTTCATGACTGCTGTCACCATCTGCAGTGATCATGGAGCCTAAGAAAGTAAAATCTCTCACTGCCTCCATTTCTTCCCCTTCTGTTTGCCAGGAGGTGATGGGCCCAGTGGCCACGATCTTTGTTTTTTTTTGATGTTGAGCTTCAGACCATATTTTGCGCTCTCCTCTTTCACCCTCATTAAAAAGTTCTTTAAAGATGCCCTGAAACCTGTTGCTATAGGGCATCCTATACGTATAGAAGATAATAAGAAATGTATTAACTGTGTGGATAGCTCAGCTGGTTACAGCGTGGTGCTGATGATGCCAAAGTTGTGGGTTCGAGTCCCCTGTGGAGCAGCTGCGTGTTCCTGCATTGCAGGGGATGGACTAGATGTTCCTCGGGTCCCTTCCAACTCTACAATTCTGTGATTCTATTATCTGCCCTGGGGGCAGTGGCATCTTGAAGCTGTGAACTAGATCCGGAGTATAAATAGACGGAATAACTTTTCTTACATAGGAAGGTGCTAAATTCCTGATTTCTGCCTTAGCGTTTGGACTTTGAGATAAGTGTGTGTGTGGGGAGAGAGAGAGAAAGAGAGAGAGAGAGAGAGAGGGAGGGAGGGAGAGAGAAGGTTGCTACTATGTTTCAAGGCACATAGTAAAATGAAGATTAAGCATATAACTTCAGAACAAAATGCAGAAGCAACCAAGATAGCTGAACGAACCAGGGACATACTTGGATAAACTGCATTGTATTAAAGTACACAACAATGTCATCCAAAGCTTTCCTCTGCAAAGCTCAAAAATGGTCTCCGGGCTCAGAAACGGCTAAATAGCAAAAGTTTACTCATTACTTAGATGAAAAGTAATTCCCATTTCTCAGCAATCCATGTCTTTAATTGCATTTTCTTTATAAGCTGAATGTAGGTAGGCAGAATTGTAGGCAGAATTACAATGGAGCAATTGAGAACCAATGATTTTCTAAGCCGCCGATAGTAGGTATTTAATTTTGCTTTCAAATCCATACTGTGGTGGGCACTTAGGCACACAATAGCCGAGGAGATATGCCCCAATCAGTTTATAAGATAGTATGAAGAAAATGCATAATGGAGCAACCAGATATATAAATAGAATAATACAAAGAAACCTAATCTACTACCAAAGCTATAATTCAATCCTTTGCAACACAAGTGCAGAGCTAAACTGGCTTATGAATAAGCACTACAATCCATAGATGGGGCTGTATAACCTTGGCTGGGTCTAAAACCTTGACTTATTGTTGAGCATTTTAGAGGAAAGAAATAAAGAAAGCTAATGACTGTGTCAGAAACAGGAAATATTAGTAAATACTAATTTTGGATTAAACGCATGACAAAAGAGCAGGTCCCACACCCCCTTCCGCTCTCCTGTCAATCCCACCATCTTTTCTTACACATGCACACCCAGCTCTTTTTATCTCTCTCTCTCTCTCTTTTTGAATGTAGCCCATACAACGGGTGGGGGAGGGAGACAGACCGCAATTATGGAACTGCAGTTCAGGGAAAGGCTGCCCCGGCCTTTATTCTGCACAGCTCTCTTGATATCAGATCAACAGACTATAAGGGAGGATAAAATTTAATCAGCAATACTGTGATGAATGTCGCTGGTGCCCAGATGAACCAGTCATTATGGATGTGTGTATATGTATTGCTGTTGTTGTTGTTTAGTCGTTTAGTCGTGTCCGACTCTTAGTGACCCCATGAACCAGAGCACGCCAGTCACTCCTGTCTTCCACTGCCTCCCGCAGTTTGGTCAAACTCATGCTGGTAGCTTTGAGAACACCATCTTGTCCTCTGTCGTCCCCTTCTCCTTGTGCCCTCCATCTTTACCAGCATCATGGTCTTTTCCAGGGAGTCTTCTCTTCTCATGAGGTGGCCAAAGTATTGGAGCCTCAGCTTCAGGATCTGTCCTTCCAGTGAGCACTCAGGGCTGATTTCCTTCAGAATGGATAGGTTTGATCTTCTTGCAGTCCATGGGACTCTCAAGAGTCTCCTCCAGCACCATAATTCAAAAGCATCAGTTCTTCAGCGATCAGCCTTCTTTATAGTCCAGCTCTCACTTCCATACATCACTACTGGGAAAACCATAGCTTTAACTATACTGACCTTTGTCGGCAAGGTGATGTCTCTGCTTTTTAAGATGCTGTCTAGGTTTGTCATTGCTTTTCTCCCAAGAAGCAGGCGTCTTTTAATTTCGTGGCTGCTGTCACCATCTGCAGTGATCATGGAGCCCAAGAAAGTAAAATCTCTCACTGCCTCCAATTCTTCCCATTCTGTTTGCCAGGAGGTGATGGGACCAGTGGCCATGATCTTAGTTTTTTTGATGTTGAGCGTATATAAACATGCAAACATATGAAATACATCTCAGACAGTTTATTTGGTGGATTCATGCTTTCTACCTAGGGAAAGGTCATCATCGCTCAGTGGTACAGCTGTGCATGCAGAAGACCCCAAGTTAAATCTCCAACATCCGCCGGTAGACCTGGGAATGTTCCGTCTCTGAAATATTTGCTGCCAGTGAGCACCAACAATACATAGCTGGCTGGACCAATGCTGTGACTTGGTGTGAGGCAGCTTCCCATGTTCTTCAATCACTCTCCTGTCAAGAAGAAGAAGAAGAAGTAGAAGAATTTATTATTTATACCCCATCCATCTGGCTGGGTTTCCCCAGCCACTCTGGGCAGCTCCCAACAGAATATTAAAAACACGATCAAACACGAAACATTAAAAGCTTCCCTAAACAGGGCTGCCTTCAGATGTCTTCTAAAAGTCAGATAGTTGTTTATTTCCTTTACATCTGATGGGAGGGCATTCCACAGGGTGGGCACCACTACCAAGAAGGCCCTCTGCCTGGTTCCCTGTAACCTCACTTCTCGCAGTGAGGGAACCGCCAGAAGGCCCTCGGAGCTGGACCTCCAGTGTCCAGGCTGAACGATGGTGGTGGAGACGCTCCTTCAGAAACGTCCGAGCTTGTGCTGTGGAATCCTCATGCATTGCAGATAACACTAGGTTTTTGTAAGGACACACACTCCATTTGCACCCACCAGCCCCATGGGGAATTGATGCTGACCCCTGTGAACTTACTTGCCCCTGTGGATTGAGCATACTTTTGCATGTTGCAGTGAAGATCAGCTGAAGTACACAAGCTGGAGAAGCTTGTTCATCATTTCTGGTCATCTCACTGCACACTCCACAATAAGCTTCCAAGGAAGCCCAGCCCTATGCAACAACCTGTTCATTGAGCTGGTCCAGTGAAACCTAGTATGTTCTTTGGTCATAAATGAATTTTATGAAAACAAATTGTCATGATCCTAGCCATGCCACTGTTGTCCATCTTGTTGGAGAGGACAAAGAGGAAATTGCAGTAGGGTTTGCAGACCAAAAAATGCCCAAGAGGAGAACTAGCTGGTCCACCAAAAACGTGTAAAACTTCTCGCAATTGCACCTTCCCTTTTGCATCACATCACAATCAAGCACGAGTCTGGCCACTTTGCCAAGGTCCCTTTTAGAAGGTGCATTCACAGGGACCTCACCAAGGATGCACAACATTTAAAAGGTCGGGATATTCCACCACTGTTGGAATAAAATTGAGGCTACATTTATGATGTTGAGGAAGGATTCATTTTGCAGAGTTGCTCGCTTCTATGTTACATCATACCAAGATGATAGAAGGTGGTCGTAGTTCAGGGGTGGCGAGAAGAAGAAGAGAAGAGTTTGGATTTGATATCCCGCTTTATCACTACCCGAAGGAGTCTCAAAGCAGCTAACATTCGCCTTTCCCTTCCTCCCCCACAACAAACACTCTGTGAGGCGAGTGAGGCTGAGAGACTTCAGAGAAGTGTGACTAGCCCAAGGTCACCCAGCAGCTGCATGTGGAGGAGCGGAGACGCGAACCCGGTTCCCCAGATTACGAGTCTACCGCTCTTAACCACTACACCACACTGGTTCTCTTAGAGAGGGTTGGGGAATGTGAGGCAGAGATTTGCTGCACTTGGAGTTTTTTAGAGCTCTATTCCAGATTCTCCATCATGTTCAGTCCTGCGTACATGCTTTCCATAATGATTGTTTTTCTCATTTGGCTAGATTACCTCCTATGATTTTTAAGAGCGACATTTGTGTTCAGGTGTAGACAACTCTAAACACTTACATAAGGAATTGCATACAAGCACATTAAAGTCGCCGCTTCCACTTCCCCCCCTCTCCTCCTCCTCCTTTTTCAGGGGCAATTTAATATTCTGCAAATGTTACAACTTTTCTCCCTCCCCCAAATTAAAAATAAATCAGCTTAAACGCCTAGAGGAAATCTGGCTGTTTTTAATTTATTGTTTTGTCGTAAAACTCTGTGTGCTAAGAGCCAAAATAAACCAACTCTTGGAACTCAAAAATATAATGTGAATGTTCTGTCTCTCTTTTTTAAAAAAAAAGAAGCGAAGGCAAGCAAAAGCTGTTAAAGGGTGAAAGCATTGCGCTTATTGTTTATTACAATTCTATACTACCTTTCTTCCAAGAAGATGAAGGTGACATCTCCTCTTCCCTGACTTTATCCTCACAACAACCTAGTGAGGTAGGTGAGACAGAGTGGTTCCTGGAAGAAAACAAACATTTCAGGTCTATCTACCCTAATGCAGCTGCTTACAGACATGCCTCTGGTCTCCTTGTGAGTAACGCAGCATCTTGGATGTTCAGGGTTTGATGATGAAGGACAAACAGGGAGGGAAGACCATTGGCAATATTCCACTCTTAAGGGATCTTGACCCAGGTGGGTCAAAGCACAATCCTATACATACCTGCTCAGAATTAATTATTGTCGAGGTTTAGGATTGCAACATAAATGTCTAACTAAAATGCATGCATGCCCATGGCTATACAGTTTGGCTCCAACACCCCTTGCAATATACCCCCACCCCCAATATTCAGTCCACCTGGTCATTATAGCATTTAGAGTAATTTTCTCAGCAGCGGGGGGCGGGGTTGGGAGATATTGGAATTACTTTGTTTTTCTTCTTTCCACTCTACGCTCTTTTGCCTTTTTAAGAAAAGCATGTCCATTAGATGCTTAGCCTATGGCCAGGGTCTGTGTTATCATTGTAGACTAATTTGTGCAGCTCCTGGAAAAATGTTGTGGGTGCACCTTGTCGTGTGATTGCACCCCTGGTAGAAAAGTCACTCCTGCAAGATGGGGGGGAGAGAGAAATACAGTCGTACCTTGGTTTTCGAACAGCTTAGTTCTCGAACGTTTTGGCTCCCAAACGCCGCAAACCCAGAAGTGACTGTTTTGGTTTGCGAACTATTTTTGGAAGTCGAACGTCTGACGGGGCT